TATATCCTATCAGTATAACATGGAGGTTTGCATCATGGTGGACATGTAAATAAGACTACAAATTACATCATTTGAATAATTAGACACCAAACTTTGAATAAAAGTCTTAAACTCTTTAAATATGATGAAAAGACTGTAAAATGAAAAACCCACTCTTTTTTTGCTATAACCAACTCATAGGCTAAGGAATGTGTACATATTTGGACAGCACAGTAATCAAAGGAGCATATAACCAAGACGCTGGTTAGCATGACTGAGGCCTGTAAACCAAACGCTACAGAGTAGGAGACCTTTAGACTAAATAAAGGATGACCTAAAGGGATCTGATGGCTGATTCTGGGTTAGTTACTTAATTCTGAAAATGCTCAGCTTTCTTTTTATTAGTGGAAATAATTCAAACTTTACCTTATCCTTGTGAAAATGAATGGAGATAATATTAAATAAATAAAATGCCAGGAACAAATGGAATACTTGCCAAAAATTAGTTACTCTTTCTCTTCCAAGTTCAAGTGTTTAATGTTAACATATGAAAATTTAATTTGATTCATTGTGATTACAGCCTAAAAATTAATTATTCAATTACAGGCTAAATTACAGGGTAAATAATTATCTCTTAGTAGGATTTTCTATCACAATAAGAAATAGAACCTACTCTTTCCAATCCTGAAACTATGAAAGTTGGTGCTTCTTGTAGGCTACAGGAAGGAATCTTTCAAGGCTTAGGTTAGCTTCATATCTGAGGTAAGGAACTAAGCTATGTGTACAGAATAAATATCTCATGACCACAGTAAGTAACTGAATTTTCTTGTCTGATGTCTTTAACATTTCTTTTTCTACACTGGTACATCTTTTTCTTCTTTGAAAGTAATCTTTGCTTAACTTTACTAAAATCTCTGTTTACATTGATTTTTCTAGTTTTTTTTCTTTTACATATGGAACATACTAGACATTTTTTTCTGTAAATATTGTCCTTTAAACTGCTATATTGGATTTAGTAGTTTATAAAAACTTTTCAATGTAGCATTTTGCAGGATATTATTCTATAAAGGCTGCTACAAATACAGTAGGTATTATAGAGCAAACAAGCACATGCTTAGATCTCAGCTCTAATTATGTTTGCATCTGGGAGGCTGAGGCAGGGGGATCACAAATCTAAGCCACGCCTGTACAAGTTAGTGACTTATTGAGACTTTGCATCAAAATAAAAATAAAAAGAGGGTTGGGATGCTGCTCAGTGTGAGGGTCTTGGACTCAATCCCTGATACTGAAAAAAAATCTGCAGAGCCTGTGAGTGTTGAGCTAAAAGAATACAGAATATACCTCCAGTTTTAAAGTATCTATTTTACTCTTGGGAACCTGGATGACTACTTTTCCCCCAAAATACTGTACTCTACAACAATCCCATCCCCCCAGAGAATGATCTTCGTCGTACTTAATCATTTAGGAAAGCAAGAAATGTGATTTGGGGCAGAGTACTAGGCAAATGAAAAAAATATTAGAAAATGATTCTTCAAATAAGGGTACATTTTAAATATATTCACGCGTTTCCCTATTATCTTGTGAAAGCTTCACATCTTAATTGTCATATGTTTGTCGTGTTTCCCAAGACATGGAATTCTGAAGTTGCAAAGAATGCCGAAATTTGGGCAAGGAAGTGCGCCTTTTCTCACAGTCCTACACATCAACGAAGAATTAGTTGTAAGTTGAATTTATCTAGTGAATAATGTTATAAAAGCTAAATTAACTGACAACCATTGAGAGAGTAAGTTTGGGAGTACAGTTCCCCCTTGCTATATCGCGGTTCACTTCTTGTGGCTTCATTGTATCACGAGTTTTTTTAAAAAGAATATAATCTAATTCTGTATCGTGT